CCGTGTGGGTCATATTGAGGTCCCGTAAGGCTCAATAGTGTGAGCCGTGTTGAGGTCCCATAAAGCTCAACATTGTGTAAGTCACCGGAAGCGTTGTAAAAAGTTGGATTGCACCACAAGTCAATCAAAGTAGTAAAAAGGCATTGCTTGTGCCGGAGTGTTTGGTAATAGAGGATGTAGATTATTACTTTGGATCGAACCTTCATAATTATATCGTTTGTATCTTCTCTCCCTTTTACTTATCGCTTTCATATTTGCACTTATTATTTGGTTCATCTACGTGCTTGAACTTGCTTACGATTATTAATTTATCAACGTGTTTTTAACTTACATGATTTTAGTTAATTATTTGAAAAAGTTTTAAAAACCAATTCACCCCCCTCTTGGTTAGTTATTATTGGGCTAACACTATGGCCACCCCAAAGGCCATCCCCATTTGGCTCACCATCGCAGCGAAAAGGTCCTCCGCATCACTGGATTATACGAAGTTCTTCCACCTATCTATCCAGTACCTATGACTGGTGAAGGTAGCCGTTTGGATCTTTGGGGAGAGCATGGTCAGAGCTTCTGGAACCAACCCATCATTCTTTGTCAAAGCAAGCTTGACCTTGGGATGAGCCCTTTCACTGGCAGAAGAGCCTTCGATGGTCCTATTTTTATTAACCAGCTGATGTCTCAAGGGCACGGTAGAAGAGGGACTCTTCAAATCCCCCATAGCAGAAGCAGTGGAAGCTACCATCAATTTCTCGCCATCAGGAGTCGGAGATAGATGTGGAGGGCATGATGTTGACCTTCCTACGCCTGTGGACGAGAAGGCGCATCTCTTCTTAGGAGATTCGCAACTTTTTCATTCCCCTTATTCTTTAACAAAGGGCACTCCTCAGACTCAGCACCCTATTTGCTTGCCCTTTCCAACTTGTCCCTGATATGCTTGGCCACAGTAGAGGAGGGCTTGTGTTCTCTCTTTCCGGATGTGGAGGCTACGAAAAAAAATAGAGGCTGTATTCAGTGTTGGGTATTTTTTCTTATCAAAATCCTCTACAATCAAAGAAGCTTCAGTAAATTATCTCTATAAAAGAATAAACGAAAATTTTGATCAAAGTTCTACCTCTTCGAGCCATTAGGATGAATTCTGCAAAAAATCTCCGGTGTGACGAATGCAAGTAACCTACAAAATGGAGGGGTCGGGCTACCATAAGTATGTGACGAATGCAAGTAACCTGTAAAAAATCAAATTTACATTTACGAGCTTCTGAGTAGTGAGTGGAAACTGTTAGCTGAGGAACCCTATCCCTCTTACAAATCTACCATCTCACTTTCACCTAAAACTAGGTCTCTTTATACCCTTTGATGGTGGAAGGAAGACCAATCACAAAAGGAAAGCAGGCTTCCCAGGGGTCCAGTGAATACCAACCCCTTGAATCACCCTTCCCCAAGACCCTAGGTTAAGAGAGTCTGGAAAACATAAAAGGGCATGTGCTTACCTAAGGAGGTCTTTTTTCCATAGAAAGTAAGTCTTCACTAGCTATGCCCATGTATTGGGGATGAGTTGGATAGGTGTTAGCCCATACGACTTAAGAACGGCCCTAAAGAATGGATGAAAAGGCAGACAAAATTTCCCATTCAGAAGGTATTCACTAATGGCCACGCATCCCAGCTTAGAAAAATAAGAGCTATCTTTAGGCGAAGGGGCTAGGAGTTCGACTGTGTAAGGGATACAGTATTTCTCCCTAATTTTTGAGGTCAGTAGCAATAACATTTGATAGAACCTTAGTAGCCCCCTAACTAGCATCATAACCTAAATGACATTGTTTAGGGTTCAGTGCACTTTGGCCTGCCTTAATGGCTAGGTCAGCCATATTCGTTGTATTCACTCCCATTTCAGGCGCTACTACACACAAGTCTAGGTTTTCCCCACCAGAGTTTAAGAGCTCATGATTTCAAGAAAAATAGGAACAAATGAAGAAATGAAGATAAATGAATACTCACAAATTTAAGGAATGAATGGGAAAGATAACCGACCAGAGAAATGGTCTCAAGGAACTTTTTGATGCAAGGGAATGAGTGTGGAAAATCTTTTTTTTTTTTTTGCAAAGTAAAGAATGAAAGGGGTAAAGGATTTTCCTTTTAGAGGCGTAGGTCATCAGCCCTTGCTATTGGATTTGAATCCTAACTATCCAACTGTTCATTTAAGGGTTAATTCGAGCCATCCATAGCATTTGCCTCTTCGTATTCAATGTTTTAGATTAGAGCTTCTAAGCCATGCTCACAAATACGTCTGCCTCCTATAAAACAAGCCTACATTTGTCATCATTACACATTAAATACGGTGATGATTACATGTATGGAAAGTTAAAATTTACAGTCGTTCTTTTTGGAAAACGTACAAGACAACTAATCATTTCGGCTCAACAGTCAAAGATGTCTCGTGTTCTCAACATTTCAAAAAACATACCTCTTCAGAATTAATGAGCTACGGCCTCAGCAAGTAATAGAGGCAAATCACTTCATTCTTCAACACAACAACTTCAGTACGGCCTCAGACATGTAAAGCCACTTCAGATCAAATAGCTTCAGATCAAATTTGAACAGCTGATGCTCCCCAGCTTGTACCACAAAATCAGAAGTTTTAAAGCACACATCTTCGGTCAATAACCTTGACAAGTAATTCATGCAAGTAAACTGCCTTTAAATTCTAATTATAATATGAATATTTATAGATAGACTTGGGAGACTATTGTGGTGTGGTAAAAACCATCCCTAACAAAACAATTTTTTTATAATGGAAGTCCATGCACATGAATAGTCATGCCTAGACTTGGGGGACTATTGTTACACCTCGCTAACAAGGCTCTAGTCAGAAAACCATGTTATAGTTCACGTGGAGATGTAAGTCAAATCTAGCCAAGTCAACAAAGACTCAATTGATAAAAATAAAGAGGTCAAAAAATGAAGCCCCCAAGCAGAAGTCCTCAAAGAAGAAGCCGAAGCTCTCTGTCCCCGAATCTCTTCACACCAAAGACTTCCAATACGAAGCTCCTTGAGGTTGAAGCCTTTACTATCCTTTAGAGAATCTACAAACAATATTTAGGAATGACTAATATAACGTTTGTAATAATGAATATCAAGATTGTAAGCCTAGGGTATAGGGTGGCTAACTCATTGTCAATGTATTAAATGTATAGCATACTGAGTAATATAAGGATTTGACCTGGGAGATGAAGCCTCGTGGTTATTATCCAACAACTATCACATCGCCCAAAATTCTATAAACTCTCACAACTGATATCATTTAAAGAATAATGCAACCCTTTACACTTTAAGCCACACTCAATCTCCTCTCTTCCATATTCTATATTTATATGCTTAAGTTTAGATTACTTCCAATTTGGACCCATTGCTTACAATTGTTTGTTTATACGTAATTATCTTTGATCATATTGTAGGTGCTCAAACATTTTTATCTCGCGTCGTAAAGCATCTCTCACGTCCATAAAAATCATCTTTTTCCACCCGAATCTCCAGTCAAAACGTGTTGGAATTTGCTTGCATATATTGTCCACGTAACCATTACAAGAAATGGGGTCAACACTATTTATCATTTTAATGATGAAACATCGGTGATTTATCCTGTCGGACCTTTCTTTTTGGTCGGTATACCCGTGTCGACACGAGTATGAAATACGGATTGGACATGGGTATGAAATACTGGTCAAACACGGCCAGGGATGGAACCTGTTGGACTGCTTCTACCATTGTTGTAGAGCCAGAAAATCATTTGTTGCAAGTTTAGGGAAGAAGAAGAAAGGGTGTTGTACTTAGGCTTGTTTTTTGTTTTAATTTTTGAGCCTTCTGGGCTTTTTTTCGTTAAAAAAAAATTATCCATTGTAGTTAAAGTATATTTATAGTCTGTATAGCCTTATTGGTTGGATTTATTTATCTCTTTCTTCGAGTTTTAGAACCTTATTGGTTGAGCAAATTACATGATGTTTATTATTTCTTAAATATGCTTTTTGGTTCTTTTAATCTAGATAAGATCCTTTTAGTTATATATATATCATGATTAATGTCGTTAAAAAATTTTAAGAAAATTTAAAATATGATTTTTCTTTGGCCAAAATGATTGATAGATAAATTTGGCAACTTAGATGGAATAATGAGATATGACAATTCAATTCCCATCTCTCTCATGAAAATTGAACTTTCATATCTTATTGTTTCACCTAAATTGTCACATCACTGATGTTTCATTATTATAATGATAAATAGCATTGCCAAGAACTTATTCTATATGTTTTAGTATCTCCCAAACATGGTCTAAATATTCAAAGGTAGTTCTAGCAAGTGTCTTTTCAATGAATGTCCAAGACAATACAAAACTAACAAGTCGCCTTTTAATGTGACAACATTCCTTCTTTATACCCAAACCATTATGTATACACGTAATATCATATTGATACGATGTTTCTCAACACAGAATTGTTCATACATTGGTGGGATCATATTCGAACTCAAAACATTTATCTATTCTTTTTCAACTTGTCTGAGAAGTGTTTAAATTATACACTTTTTATTCACTCATTTCGTGGGACTCACAAGCACTTCCTACTTATTCACAACTCATTTCTATTTATTTACAAATTAAACTGATTATAATCGCTTCCCAAACATGCGTGAATCTTTATTTAAATTTTATATTCAACTCACTTTAGGCAAGATTCATTTTTTTTTTTCAAAAGCGTCAAATGTAAACTTTTAATAAGTTGATAGTGGTGAAATTCGAGTCAAGGTGTTTGCATGCTCCAGTATCATGTTAATCTGTTAATCTAAAAGTTTAAGATGTTAGAAAGGGTATATTTATTTAATTATTTTCTAAAATATTTAATAGACAAATACTGTAGTGCATTACATTATTATATGGCATCAATGGTAAAAAAATATTATAAATAGCGGAACATAAGTTGATTATCTTGCAAATTTCCTCTGTTTAGCAAAAGAAAATGATTTCTTTTCAACATTTGATAGTTCCTCTTGCTTCCTTCATTTTTTCCATCTTCCTTTTCAAATGGCACTTTAATTCTGCTTCAACAGCCCGAAAAAGGTTACCGCCATCACCATCTACACTTCCTGTGATTGGAAATCTTCACCAACTTGGCTTATACCCTCATCGCTCATTGCGAGCACTATCCAAACACTATGGTTCACTCATGATGCTTCATCTGGGTAGTGTACCAACACTTATTGTCTCCTCCGCAGATGCAGCTCGCGAGATCATGAAAAATCATGACATGGTTTTCTTAAACAGGCCTAAAATAAACCTTATGGATAAAATTGTTTATGGCTGCAAGGACATAGCTTTTTCTCCTTATGGTGAGCACTGGAGGCAGGTGAGAACTTTATGTGTCCTTCAGCTGTTGAGCAACAGAAGGGTCCATTCTTTTCGCCGTATAAGAGACGAAGAAACGGCCCTTATGATGGAGAAAATCAGACAGTCTTGCTCTTCTTCGACAGCTTCGATAAACTTGAGTAATCTTTTGGTGTCTCTTACTAGTGATATTATATGTAGAGTGGCCCTGGGGAGGAAATATAGTGATGGAGAAGAAAGCAATAAATTTGGTTTAATGTTGAAGGAAGTTGGGGCTTTATTAGGCACTTTTAATCCTGGGGATTACATTCCCTGGCTTAAATGGATTAAACGTGTCGATGGTTTCAATGTCAGGGTGGAGAAACTGGCTAAATCGCTTGATGAATTTTTGGATGGTGTAGTTGAAGAACATAGAAATCAAAAGAAGGGAAAGGCGGATGGTGACGACAGCACTGGTGAAGCAGATCTTGTTGACATATTGCTTCAAATTCAGAGAGAAAACAAGGCTGGTTTCCCTATTGGAACTGATACCATCAAAGCTGTTATTTTTGTAAGAATCTCTCTGTTTCTACCTCTCTATATTTTGCACATTCATGTGTATCTAAACTAGGGGCGATTGCTGTTCACGTTATTTTATCTAAACTAGGGGCGATTGCCGTTCACGTTATTGGACATGTTGCAAACTATTTAAGGCGTTATCAGATTTCAGCAACACTGGAAACAATTTGGTTAGAATATAATCTTTTTCCTTGTTCGACAGGACATGTTTGCTGCTGGGACTGATACAACATATATTACTTTAGAGTGGGCAGTGGCAGAGCTTTTAAAGCACCTGAAAACTATGGAGAAACTGCAGAACGAGGTGAGACAAGTAGCCGGAAGCAAATTGGAGATAATAGAGGACGATTTAGATAAAATGTCCTATATGAAGGCAGTGATCAAAGAGACCCTAAGACTACATCCTCCACTTCCATTACTGCTCCCACGAGAATCAACCCAAGACACTAAAGTAATGGGGTATGACATCGCAGTTGGAACCCGAGTTATGATCAATGCTTGGGCAATTGCAAGAGACCAAATGTCGTGGGAAAATCCAGAAGAATTTCAACCAGAAAGGTTTTGTAACACTGTAATAGACTTCAAAGGGCTTAATTTTGAGTTTATTCCATTTGGTGCAGGTCGTAGAGGATGCCCTGGTATTACATTTGCCATGGGTGTTGTGGAGCTTGCATTAGCAAAATTGATGCATAAATTTAACTTCACAACAGAAAAACATTTGGACATGACCGAGGCCTCTGGAGCTGCTGTCTACAAGAAGTTTCCACTACTTGTGATCCCAAGACCGGATTCTTGCTAAAGCTTTCTGAGAGTGCCATCAACTATTCTCTCTTACTCTCTAGAATTCTCTCTGAACGTTACGATAAAAGAATAAATTTATCCTATATTCCTTTGTAGTTGGTTCTCAGATTATCTTCGTTTATACTGAATAGCATTGTCTAACAGAGTTGTTTGAGTCTTGTGCATCTAATCCCGCCTTACATTAGAATCTGAATAAATGCTTCAAAACTCATGCCTCACGTGAGGTTTGAACCTCGGTTCAGGGCAACTAAACAGTTCGCCTGTTTGTCTTATCGTTAACTTTTTTCTGGCTTTACACAAGATAGAATGGGGAAGGAGAAGAAACAAATGCAAGTGAGGCATACAAAAGAATCAGAAGAAAAAAAAAAGTGACAGAGAATGATAGGGGAATCAAATAAGTAGATGATTCCTTAATGACATATATATGACTTTTGGGTTTCCACTTTTAGTAATATACTATAATTTTGTTATGTAATTACTAATATAAGACCTTCTAATTGTTACTTTAACTTTATTAAGGTATAGGTAAACCAATTACCTCTTTTTGTTTAAAATTTTGAAATATGTGCCATTTTTATTCCTAATGACAATTACCTAGTTTAATCAAATCTTAATTAAGTCATGTTTGGTAAAAATTGAAATCTAAAGTTTAATCTAAATCAAACTCAACAATTAATTTTAACTCTATATTTCATGGGACTCACAATTTTTCAACTACACATTTCATCAACTTTTATCAAAATTCACTAAAATTTTGATTTTAATCTACATTAAACAAGGATTAAGATTTAAGCTACTTTAATATCCACATAAGCTGCAACCAAGGCACGAGAGTCGGTGATTCTACCTTTCTGGAATGAATGAATAACATCAACTCGGGGATTTTGCGGTTTTTGTCTTTGGGCTACAATTAATTTTGGGGTTTTTTGAGGTTTTTTTTAATAGGTTTGTCACTTTGTAGGGTAAATTTGGACAAATTAAGTTTTAGGTCATGTTTTAACTTGTCTATAAAATGTAGGTTTGTCTGTTATTCTCCTTTATTAATCTATCTTGGAACCTTCTTGTTGAGGGTGAGATGTCTTTTTTTCTAGTTATAATAGAATATACTTTAGCTTAGGAGTGGAGATTTTTTCCCAAAACCGATAGAACCGGACCAAAATCAAATAGAATTGGTTGGTTCGACTTCAGCCCCTCTAATGGATCAATTTTGGGACCATGCATCAAGAACTAATCGATTTCGGTTCGATTCTCGATACTGTCTTGAAAACCAACAATGAATATAGTTCTCCCAAATTTCTGTTTTTACTTGAACCAAAATGCACTATATTTTTAAAACCTAGATCCCAAAATTATCTCACTACTTGAATTTCGTTCCATTTCCCATATGCTTCTTCTTCATTCCTTTAATGGGTAATTGAAATTTAAGTTTAAATAATTTTATAAATTCATAGTTTTAATTCAACACAATAGGAAAAATATATATTTTGGTTTAATATTTCATAAGAATTCAAATTTATCTTTGTATTCAAAGTGGTCGGCCATCAAGAATCACGATACATAGGAATTACTAAAATAATCTAGCTATTGTCATATGAATTTTTTTAAGAAATAATTTTCGATCGAGATTTTACTATTTATGTTGTGATTAATAGTTTATCATTTGTTTGCCTTTAAAAGTTGATCTTGAGCTTTGGAGTGGATTTTTGTTTATTGTCTTATTTAATAGATTTTTTGTATCGTTAGATTACAGAACTAGAAGTGATTTCATACTCTATTTTTTTAATTTTCATTTTGACAAGTAGTTTCACACTTTATTTTTATAATTTTTTTTAATATAAATAACCAGATCAGAACTAGTTGGCTTGGTTCGGTTCTATAATTGGATATGAAACAAATGATTACATTTCTAAGATTCTCATTGGTATTCGGTTCGGTTTAGTTCCCTTCAGAATCTGACCAAACTAGATCACGCTCACTCCTACTTTAGCCCATGTTTGTATCATAATCTAAAAATTTATTTTTTCTCAAACTAATTTTCAACCACATTTTTTCAATAAAATAATTTTACATATAAGATCAAAATTAATGTATACTTTCGAGTCACACGTTATCAAAAAACTCACTATTACAAAGTTTTTTTCCCCTTAAAATGGGGCCCAAATGTGTGTGTTCAACTAGGGCTGCACAAAAAAAATCGTAAAACCACAAATCGAACCCTAATCGTTGGTTCGGGTTCACGTGATTCCGCAATTTTCTTTCCTTCAAACCATTGTTTAAGTTTCAATTTTCAGAAACCGCACAAAATCGGACCAACCCATTTTTATAAATTTTTTAAAATTAAAAAATTAATTTTATTAACTTATAAATTTTACAGTTTTCACTTTTCATAAAAAAAAAATACTGATTTAGCAATACAAATCACAACTAGCCCATTAAGATAAGGGAAATTTTCATAATTAAGAAGTTAAGGTTCACCTATTTCAAAACTAAGAACAAATGTTTCAAATTTCAAAAATCAGATAAGATTAAAATTAATTTAATATTTAATTAATTAATTATATATTAGTTAATTAAATATATTAAGGTTACACATTTATACAATTTGGTCACAAATTAACGATTTAATTAGTCACATATTATCTTTTGATCACAAATCAGAAATTTTATATCACAAATTCTTTTACAATTCAAAAATTTTATAGATCATAATTTGTTCATCGGTCACAAATAAAAAATCTGTACATCACAAATCAGAAATATTATAAGTCACAATTTATCGTACAGTCACAAATTTTCAATCAAAAATTTTATATGTCACAAGTTATCTTATAGTCATAATTCCAAAATTTTATAGATCACAATTTGTTCATCGGTCACAAATCAAAAATTTATACTTTACAATTTATTTATCAATCACAAATCACAAATATTATAAGTCATAACGTATCAGATAGTCACAAATTTTCAAATTATTGGTTACAAATTAATAATTTTTTAGGTCACAAATTATTTTGTAGTCACAATTTGTCTTTTTCAATGTTCAAATGTTGTTTATTGGTCACAGATTAACCAATTTAATGGTCACAATTAATCAAATAATTTGTGACTACAACCAACACTTGTAACCACCACCTCACCCTTCAACAGGACCACCACTACTTTCGCCGTCATAACCACCACCACCTCTCCACAACAACACCATCTCAAACAAATCAACACATCGACTCTCAAATACCACTACCACGAGCACCACTACCATCAAAACCCAACCACGACTCCTTCTCGACTTCATAGGAACCATGCAATGTCTGAAAGCACCGGGCAATAAATTGAGCGAGAAAGGAGATAATGAGATGGGTATGGACGCAATGGCCCCAACTCTACCTCTATTTTTTGATTTTGATTTCTATGGAAGGGATCGTCGCGAACCATACAGAATGGTCACCGTGCTCATCGCCACTCCAAATCAGCAACACCGTGACTCACGTACGCAGTCGCTGCGCTTGGCTCAAATTTGATGTATGGCGCCCTTGCCCGTGCCGTTAATTAGGTTACACATCTCCGACGTGAGGACAGAGAGGAGTCCGGAGAGAGAAACATGGAGAGATATAATTTGGGTTTTTGATTGAAATTGTGTAGGATAGATTAATTAATTTTATAATATTTTTATTAATATTAAAAGTTTGAATTAAGATCTGATTTTTGTAAAAACAAACCTCAAATCTGATTTTTGAATTGTGACCTTTAAAATTATGGTTGCATGTAATTTCCTCTTGAAATAATCATATAAAGTAAATTAAGTTCATCATTGTTAGCCCATGATTTTATAAGTCCATAACACACGTCTTGACCCGATATCTAAATTAAACCAAAATTATTCCCAAATCATAGATTCGACAATCCAAATCATAATTCAACAAAACTTCGACAGCAAATCACACCCACAACTTCAGAAGCCCTAACATAAACTCTTATTTCTCAAAAATTTGATGCTTGCCACCACTGCTAAACAAAATGTGATTCCCAATCACAAATCGCCAATTGCCTTTTGCGTGTTAGTCTGCTAATTTCTACCTGAATCACCTATTTCTCTCTTCTCTCTCAGTAAGTCTTAGATTTCCACTCAAGCCTTTTTTTTTTCATTGTTCTTTCTTTTATTTGTTGTTTTTGAACTTATTATACACTTGTGAGTTGTGTTTTGGCTTAAAAAAATGATTGTTTGTGTGCATAGGCGATTAATGAATTTGTTTGTGGTTTGGAAAGAACGAAGGACATGGTGTATTGATTGTATGAAAATGTTAAAGTTCCTTAATTAGTACTACTACCTTCTACTTTCTTAAAATAGTTAGAGAATGAAACCTGAACTCTATCGTTCTTTGTACATCTAAACATGTTCTATCAGTTCTTATTTTTAATCTCACTAGCAGGACGAAATGAGTTTTAACCAAACTATTACAGCAAAATGTGATTCTCTCTTTACCAATTGCTATGTGACAATATGAGAGGTAAAAAAGAAAATGTAAATAAAAAAGAAGAAAAATATATTCGTTCTATCAACATCTTTTAGCAACCAACTTTGAAAACAATTAATTCATAGGTTTCATGGGAAAAAATATAATTTAACATTAACATTATTAGTTCTCATTTAAATTTTATGTTAACTTGTTATAAATATATTACTATAATGTCGATAGGTAAATTGCGGATTAAAATCGAACCAAATCGCAAATTATGGTTTGGTTTGGTTCGAAAAATAAAATGGTTTGGTTTGGTTTGGTTTGAAAAAAATTTCAAACCGTATGAAATTGTCTAAATTGAAAACATGATACAAACCGCTCAAACCAAATCGTATTCACCCCTATTTTCAACCCATAAAATTAAAAAGGAGATAAAAGTCATTACCGGAGAAAGTTGGATCCAGTTAATATCTATTCCTTTTATTTATTATTTTCAAGATTATTTTCCATCTTGAATTTTACTTTTCTCATTCTATGTTTG